TATTTTATTCAGACAAGTGCTTTAACCAGATTGAGACCTCTTCTGAACCTGCATGTGCTAGTTTGTTCTCTCTTCTTGCTGGTTTTGTTGTGAATTTTTCCAATCTATTCTGGATGAGTTACATTTATGCATTTAAATGCTCTAGTTTGCCAAGGAAAATCCATTGAGGACATATTAACATTTCCAAGCATAAGTCCACACAGGGGTGAAGGTGGTTGGCAGGGTGTCCTACGCTGAGCGCAACATGTTTTATCCAACTGGAACAACACTCCTACCGGCCAATCACATTTCAAGGGACTTGTGCAATGTGATTCACAGAAACCGGCCAATCACATCTCTGTTCAGACATCTCTGTGGATGCCAACTAACTTTCTAAAAAGTTCAGATACATTTCTGCTAACCGTAATAGAAGAGATCCTGCATAACTTGTACTAACTGCACTAACTTTGAACATGCAACCTATTTTCAATGCATTTCTGTGGTTAAAGGGAACTAAAGTTGTTCAGGTTGGGAACGACAGTGAGTACATGAGGAGGGACAGAATTATCAGTATTGGGTGAACTACTTTTTACGCAATTCGACAAGACATTAAAAAAAAAAATCAGGAATTTGTTGCATGGTATAAAGTGGATATTAAGGATCTATTCTACGGCCCGAATGAAACATTTTACAACATTTTAAACCCCTCAAAACTCATCATCTCTGAAAAGCCTGGCCAATGTTGATTCATGTTTTATTACAAGCTCTGGCATGTTCTGTTTTGACTCTCCTCTGTTCACCTTTTCTTTTTAAACCGGTGATTCCCCAGGGGTTGGAGATTTATTTTACACCATACACACGTGAAAATGGCCCGAGCAACTATTCTCTATTTAAATGTAGGGAGACATACACAGGCGAGTGACGTATGAACACAATTTCCGGTGAAAACCATCCCGACAGGTCTAAAATCTAAACACTTATAGCCTAAATTAAATGAAAGCTTTCAAGAAAAGCATATTTTTCTCTGGAAAAATGTGTCAATCTTATTGTTTTTACATATAAATCAGTTTAAAATCAAAATGAATCTCAACTGACACATGCTATTTTAATGTTTTTCTATGGTTGATAATCAATTAGGGGTTTTCCTCAAGCTTACACTGTTAAATTAAAGTTCAGAACTGTACTCTAAACCAGTGGTTTTTAGAAACCAATTTTAGAAACGGTGTAAAAAAGACATATAAAAATAAATACATAAAAAAAGATTCGTAAAAGATAAATATATTTTAATTAATTTAAAGATACAAGTAGTATGATTATATAAAAAAACACAATAATGTAATTAAATATTTTAAATATTATAATATTTTAGACATATTTGTAATATTGATTTTTCACAGCATAAATTGAGTCTTTCTACAAGATGCCTTTTAAATTTTAGGATGAGGTCCTTCACAAGGAAAACTGGAAAACCAAAACCATGTTTTGATTAATCCTGAGCATGTGTTAAAGGGATAGTTCACCCAAAAATAAAAAATTCTCTCATCAATTACTCACCCTCATGTTGTTCCAAACCCTTAAAGGGATAGTTGTTCACCCAAAAAAATACCCTATGATTCACTCACTCTCAAACCATCCTAGGTCTATATGACATTCTTCTTTCAAACGAATACAATCAGAGTTATATATATATAAAAATGGCTGGCTCTTTCAAGCTTTATGGCAGTGAATGGCTATGTGTTATAAGTCCATTAAAGTGCATGCATCCATCATAAAAATCATCCACATGAATCTGGGGGGTTAATAAAGGCCTTCTGAAGTGATGTAGTGATGTAAGAAGATGTAAAAAAAAAAATCCATATTTAAAACTATAGCAACTATAATAACTAGCTTCAAGCAGACGGACGTATGCATAGATTTTCGATGGAAGAGTAACACTTGACCAACGTAATGATGAAAGTGAAAGCTCAGAAGATGGAAAAAAAAAAAAAACAAACAAGTCTGAAACGACCATTTTAAAGAGAAATGGCAGAAGAGCATGAGTTGAGTTTGCGGTCCAGACCTAAACCGCGAGAGACGTCTAAACTCATGCTACTCCTACATCCGTCATACATCGTCAAGTGTTACTCTTTTGGTGTAAGTCGGCTTGCGTATGCCGTCTGCTAGTTAGTTTAGTCGATAAAGTTTTAAATATGGATATTTTTCACATCGCTTCACTTCAGAAGGGCTTTATTAACCCCTCAGAGCCATGAGGAGGATTTTTATCATTGATGAATGCACTTTGATGGACTTTGAAAATATATAGAGCCATTCACTGCCATTATAAATTATGCCATTATATGGAAGAGCCAGGATAAGAGCCAGCGGCGTTACATCATGAAAGTGCGCACTCGTAAAGGGTGTGAGTGTTTAGGGTGCCATTTGGGACAGGGCCTCAGTCTCTGACAACGGCTGTGTCAGAAATCGCATACTTCCCTATATAGAAGATGAAAAACTGTATGTGACAAAAGCAGTAGGCCCTATATCCAAATTCACAGTAGCTACTGATAAAGAGTAGGCAAAAAACTACCTGGATGACCTACTACTTCCAGCGAGATTCTAGTGTGCATATGATACTATAACATACTTTTTTCAGCACTAAAGCTTTAGTTACTCAAATTCAAAATAAGTATTCAGGAGAGCAGACACAGCCACTGTTCACATTGTAAACACAGTACGCAGCTTATGGGTTATAAGTTAGTAAGAAAGCTGCTCAGTATACACTTATTTCACTATTTTGAATTAGAAAGCAAGGCTCCGGTGGGAAGTAAACCGGAAGTGCTGCCTTTAATCATTGGAGAGTCGCGAATGCGATGGCATATTGTTGTGTTTAATGTAAAAATTAGTTATTCTAAAACTGTACATCCATTTGGCATTTCATACTTCAGACTACATACAGTGAAATTCGTTAATAAATAAAATTATTTTTTTATTTATAATTCAGAACGTAAATTGCACTCATGCACTCACCGGGGTTCTTCCCAGTTCCCACCGGAGCCTCGCTTTCGATTTCAAAATGGCGGCTGCGTGAAATCAGCGTAGCTATTGGCCTGCGGCAACATCACACAATTTTGGTCAATATGATTCATTATGACTTTAAAGTGATCGATATGTAGAAACAAAGAAGATCTTAGATAAAACTCACTCAAATCTAGTTCAAAAACCTTACAGAGAGAGAGAGAGAGAGAGAGAGAGAGAGAGAGAGAGAGCGAGACTGACATACTGAACAACACTATCGGCTCAACTTCAATGGACTGACGCTGTCAAACTGTTTATCACACAAACCAAGACAAGACAGGATTTCTGGAAGAATTCTCTCTGTTGGCACGAGTCTGGAATAATCCACAGCCCACGGGCCACGGCACTCTGTCATCCGCTTATTATTTAATCAATCAGGCGCTTTAACCGACAGCTCATCAGGAGCGTTCAGGCTTGTTCTGCCTGGATGAACTCGGGTCAGTGTCAGTCGAGCTGGAGGCTGTCTGTGGGCGTCCAGTGACACCTAGTGGCCGCTCTGACAACAGCAAGGACGTGCTGTTTTGCATGTTATTACTATCTAAGGAGAACTACTGGGGGTCAAAGGTCATATTGATTGTTATTGATAATCAATTAGGATTTTCCTGAAATTTACACTGTTAAGTTAAAGGCCTGAGGTCAGAAACATACTCTAAACCAGTGGTTTTCAAACTGGGGAGCTGTGCAGGGTCTGTGGAAAAGTTGGGAGAAAAACAGTATAAAAATGTAAAATAAAATAAATACAGGATTAAAATAAATACATTATAAACTAAATTAATCTAATAATAGCCTACATTACTGAGAGAAAAACAATGTAACAATAGAAATAAATAATTCTCAGATAATAGACCTTTTCACAGCATGAATTTGGTCTCTCAATAAGAAATTGAATAAATACCTTTTAAATGTTAGGTCCTTTGCACAAAGACGAACTATGGCAGTCCGTGGCATCTAAAATATTGAGAAAACATTGTTAACGAAAATTACAACAATAAAAATATTTTCATTACTTAAAATTAAGACATGAAATAAAATAAAATATAAATATAAACTTATTTCAGCAACATTTCTCATTTTGTTTGAAGTACTAAAACCTAACAAAACAAATTACTAGAACTTTAAAATTAAAATCAAAAACAAAGTACAAAAATCAAATCAAATTAAATCTACACTGTGTAACTCTTAGTTTATTCTTAGCTAAAAACACTTAGTTCTTTCAAAAATATATGTGCTCATTAATGTATATTTACTTCGTTCAAGTAATAAAGTATACTCGTGAGTGTATAATATGCCATTGAAAATACATACGGTTAAGGGGTTCTAATGTCGGTCGTCAAGTTGCTCCTCCATCTTGAAAGTACATTAGCCAAAGAGGGACATACCCGTTAATTCAAGCTTCGCCTTTCGCGTTTAAGTTTGAGTTAACACTCATGGACGAGGCCGAACTGGAAGCCAGGTTAATCTTGGACTACATTGGCCACCGTAGGAGTTAAAACGAAATTGGAATTGAGAGGAACAGAAACTAATATTCACTGGATGGTCATATATCTTTTCACCGCTAGATGGGGGTAAAAATCACACAGTGTAGCTTTAAAGTACTAAAACCTAACAAAAAAATTACTAGAACTTTAAAATTAAAATCAAAAACAAAGTACAAAAATCAAATCAAATTAAAATATTAACAAAAACTACTAAATTAATACTGTAACGCATACTCGATTTCGATATTCAATGTGATCGTTTCCTTATTCAGGTATGGTTAGCTTAATTAACTCAAACCAACCACCTCAGGAAGATTCTCTTCACATCTTTGCTCGGTAATGACAATAGTTGATCTGAAAGAGAATATCAGACCGTAGACAAAAACGCAATTGCATTCGAATGCAATTTAGGAGCGCATCAAGCGAAATCCAGCTTATAAACTTAAATTTGTGCTTGTGTGTAGAGTATGTTTCAGACACACACACGACCATGGTCAAGTACTTTATTCATAATATTTTTTCTTAAAAAACTCTCTCTTTTTAATATACAACACAATCTGACAAGACAATTCTGTTTACAACTAGATTCAGCCCTCGATGAGCAAGCAGGCAGAGAGAAAAAGAAACCAGACATTGAGTGACACGGACATACAATGCCTAGCAGAACCAGACTGAAAAGATGAGGCCAATTAAATAGAACAACGAAATCATAAAAAAACTAAAGACAAAAGGGGAAGAGGCATCAGAGCAGACAGTCATGCATGCTGACGGACCCGCGCTCCACACCGCCATCCTGAAAAACAAGTGTCCCGTGTCCTGAAGAGGCATGAAAACAACGGCGAGTGGGCAGAAAAGGCAACAGGCGTCCTTAACCATCACCACTCTCTTTTCTTTTATTCCCGCGAGAGTCTCTTTCTCTCACACAGCTGATCGGAAAAGTCTCATTTCCCTGTCCATCATCCGTACGTCACTCCCAGAATCCCAGCTTCTCTATAACACAGTGATCCTTGTGTGGAAATAAGCTGTTAGTAGTGCAGAGCTTGTGAGTATGAGATGTTTTCGGGTTATTTGAGCAGCAGTCGTAGTACAGATAAGTTTTGAAGCGGTCAACATCTGTGTGTGTGTGTGTCATTGTGCTTCTTTTTCCCACTAGATAAAGCAGAACAGTGTTTTGAATCTTTAGAGCAGCATGTGTCTGTTTGGCAAAGCATGGATCTGTGTAGGAAAGAGAAGAGGAGGCACGATTCTGTGATTGACACGGCCAACAACCAATCAGCTCTCAGCTCTCCCAGGACACACTGGCACATAGAAGAGGCACCTGAAATGGAGAGACAGACCATAAACAAACAAACAAATACAACATAAGAAAAATAAACTGAAACTATAATAACTACTACAATACAAACACATTAATAGTTTATTGTTTTAATATAAAATAATGACTATGATAAGCAATAATATGATTGAAAACTCAAAATATCAGACTAAATAGACTTTAAATGAATAAATAAGCTTAACAAAGAATGAAAAATGAATTGCAACTATAGTAACTAGCACATTATGAATAAATGAAAAAAAAAGTCATATTTAATATAATATTGCTTTAAAATAATAAATAAACATCAGAAACAGCAGTGCTGAGCCAGAGGGGTAAAAACACACCAAAAAAAAATAAAATAAAAATACTCAAAATGAACAAAAAACACATTTCTAATCCAAGAGGAAGAAAGACTTGTTCAACGCTTACCCAGGTACAAACACACACATGCTGACACACTGTTCAAAAGTTATGACTATTTTCAGATCTCCTATCCTGTAGGTAGCGCTGCTCCCAAATTTGGCATGCATCCTCAGATTATGGTTCCGATAAAGCAAGACAAATCAAAGTTTTGTCGCGATACAGCCTCTGAACCAATTTTGGGTCCACATATTAAGTTCATGACACTTTTGAATAAAGATGGATTAAAATAATATGTTTAGTCATGTCTGTGAGGCTCGGATCATTTAAAGGTGCCATGTGTAAGAATTGAGGTTAAAATATCCAAAAAATGAGCTACACCCATCAAAAGAATGAGAAGAAATAAGGGTGATGATGTCATTATATGTCAGGTTATAGTGCTGCAGAGATATTAACCTGAATTAGCATGCTAAATTACTAGCCCCGGCCCGGCAGGTGTCATAATAACAGTTTCGGCCATGGGAGGCAACATAACCACCAGCCAAACTGCAATGCACGAGTACACGCGGCCACGGCACAACTCACTTTCTGGAGGTATACTGCCCCCATCTGGTATGTAATATGGAGTATGATTTGATTTTTTTGACACAAGGCACCTTTAAGCAAATTTTAGCAAGATTTGGGCAAAATTTGGTGGAGTAGAAAAAGAAAAAGCTTACTGTACTTTTCAAAATGGCTACTACTGTAATGGCGGGAGTCTTAAAGTAAAATGTTGAGTGGAATCAGGTGTACTAAATTAAATATTTCTGGAACAACAGATTCAGATGTTATAACCTTTTGAAAAGTGAATATTTGACCTGGTGGTGGCGCTATAGAGTTGGTCAAATTACCATTCATTACCATCACTACAAGTGTGCCAATTTTTATCATTTTCCTACTTAGTTATATGGGCCGCCATGGACTATAATCACCACAATATGAACAAATAAAATAAAATAATAATAATATGATATTATATAATTATGAAATTATTATAATAAACAATAATATGAATAAAAATTACATAAGAGTAATAGAAAAAAAAAAACATTTTACTTTATACACATAAATATTTTTCATTCTTTTGAAATACAATTTCAAAATAACCACTACAATATAAACAAATTGATACAGAACTATAGAGAAAAGTGTATTTAAAAAATATATATTTTTTGGATGATCAGTGTATTTTGTCAACTTGTACCATAATGAAATAAAGAGCAGGTGAATTGTTGTAAACTCTGGTCTGTGCGTGTACCTGCTATCTGGAGACGTACGTGTATGTCCGCGAGGGCGATCGCCCCTCTGACTGTCCATTGGTGGAGACATTCAGGAAGTCCCATATAAGGATTGTGTCATCATGGGAACTGCTTATAATCTGGAACTCATCAAACTGCAGTCGGAACACACGCCCAGAATGCTCCTGCGAGAGGTTGCCATGAAAACACACACTTAACAGAACACAAAAACATACTACGCAAACACACTCGAAGCGGTGAGTCCGGTGTTGGGGAGTAAACGCAGCAGCACCGTTGAAATAATCACTTGGTTAACCTATATGGAAATATATGTAAAACACAATACAAAATTCTCAAATGAGGCGTCACTTAGGGTTGGGGAAGTTGGCCAAGCTACAAGAAGTCAAGACATGAATCGATTCTTTTTGAAATGGTTCACTTAAACGAACTGATTCTCTAAAAGAATCTGATTCCTCCTAGCTATCCAATTTAATAGTGTAGACAGGAATCCTATTCAGTGAATCAGTTTGATTAAAAGTTAGTTTATTAGTAGATCTAGGATGGAATCCTATTTTTTCAGTTTTAACGCTCCAGAAAGAATCGATTCACCAATTAATTTGACTCCTCCTGTGGTAATCCCTGTGGTTTAACAACTTGAATTTCTAGTAGCCTGCAGTTTCTCAAACTAGCTTCAAGGTAGCACAAGGTGACGGTTCATTTGAAAATAACAAATTATGTTTTACATTAATTTCCATATATATTTACTAAATGATCATTTCAAACTGTCTGAGGTAATTAGCAGTGTTAATAAACCTGCAGTGACCTCTTGTTGTGTTGATTGTTTTATCATATGTGAAATTGACTTGCATGACAATGAAAAATGTATCCATAAAAATATGGAAAACCTATGGAAGCTTGCATTGCCAATGAATAAAAAAATAAAATAGGTAATTGTGACATTTCATCTCACACTTCTGACTTTCTCAGAATTGCGTGATATCAACTCACCGTTCTGAAATAAAAACCTCAGAATTGGACTTTATAACTCGCAATTGCCAGTCTATACGTCACAATTCTGTGAAAAGTAGTCAGATTTACGAGATGTAAACTCAACTGAGAGAAAAAGTCAGAATTGCAAGAAGTCATAACTGAGTGAAAGTCAGAATTACAAGAAAAAAGTAAGAATTGTGAGATTTCGCCATAGATTTTACAGTATTGCGAGATGTAAACTCTCAATTGCAAGAAAAAAATAGAATTGTGAGATAAAAAGTCTGAATTGCGAGATAAAAAGTCGCAATTATCTTTCAAATTGTTTTATACCGTGGTGGAAACAAGCTTCCATACAAACCAGATAGAAATTTTACAAAACATAAATTCAACTATTTATAAACATGATAATGGAATTATTTTATTCACACACACCACGAGTGTGCGCAGACATAATGTGCTGGCAGGGGCCCGAGGATCCAGAGCTGCCTGTAAATCCCAAACTTTAATTTTCCTGCAGAGGAACAGAGAGAATGTGCGTGTGAGTTATGAGTGCTCGATATTAACCAGGCTGACAGTTGAACGGCCTGTCAGAAACAGATGGTGCTGTGACCGAGTGTGTGTATTCACCCATCATACGCTCCGCTCACGATCCTCTTGTTGTCGAATCTGATGCAGCGCACGAGCTCCTCATGACCCTCCAACACACGCAGACAAGCACCACACTCAATGTCCCACAGTCTGAAAACACACACGTATGTCTACACTTAATCCAGATTTTCTATACATTTCGTCCTTCCATCCACATTGAGATGGCATTTTTTTAAAGATGCTCTCCCAAGCTGCTTTTGCGTTGTAGTGTGGATTGACTATTCAAAACAATGACACGATATTTTTTGGGTCTGTAAGAAATTAGTACTTTTATTCAGCAAGGATGCATTAAATTAATTAAAAGTGATGTACAGATATTTATTCTTACAAAAAATTCTGTTGAATAAATAAATAGCATTAATAAAAATCAGAAAAGTTTCTTGAGCAGCAAATCAGCATATTAGAAATATTTCTGTAGGATCATGTGACACTGAAGACTGGAGTAATGATGCTGTAAGTTCAGCTTTTGATCACAGGAATAAATTGCATTAAATTACAAAATACATCCAAATAGAAAACAGTTATTTTGAAATTGTAATGATATTTCACAGTATTATTATTTTTACTGTATGAAAAATGTGTATTACTGTAATATTAAACAGACACATTTTCTTGTGGAAGTAATACGTCAAATACGTTTAGTATGGCGAGAACAAAAAACATAGGAAAAAAATTCTTTATTGTGAACAGGGACAAAGACAAAACAGTTCAACTGCAAATCACACAGTAAACTTACAGACACACATTGTCTCACCTGATGGTGTTGTCCGAAGACCCGCTGACCACGAGTCTGTCTCTGTACTGAAGGCAGGCGATGCCGCGCTTGTGACCGTTAAGTGTCCGTACAAACTCGCAAGTGCTGGTGCTCCACACCTGCAGACACACACGGCCTTTTTTATCTAGATCTGCCAATCATCCATCACTAAAGCTCCGCCCACCCACTGACCACTCCCATCCGCTGACCACTCCCACCCACTGACCAATCCAACCACTGACCACTCCAACCCGCCCACTGGCTACTCCCACCCACTCACCACTTCCACCCACTGACCACTCACAAACTGACCAATCCAACCACTGACCACTCCCACCCACCCACTAATCCCACCCACTGACCACTCACAAACTGACCAATCCAACCACTGACCACTCCCACCCACCCACTACTCCCACCCACTGACCAATCCAACCACTGACCACTCCAACCCACCCACTGACCACTCCCACCCACTCACCACTTCCACCCACTGACCACTCACAAACTGACCAATCCAACCACTGACCACTCCCACCCACCCACTAATCCCACCCACTGACCACTCACAAACTGACCAATCCAACCACTGACCACTCCCACCCACCCACTACTCCCACCCACTGACCAATCCAACCACTGACCACTCCAACCCCCCACTGACCACTCCCACCCACTCACCACTTCCACCCACTGACCACTCACAAACTGACCAATCCAACCACTGAGCACTCCAACCCGCCCACTGACTACTCCCACCCACTCACTTACCACTCCCACTCACTGACCCCCACCCACAGACCACTCCCACCCACTGACCAATCCAACCACTGACCACTCCAACGCGCCCACTGACCACTCCCACTCACTGACCCCCACCCACCGACCACTCCCACCCACTGACCACTCCCACCCACTCACTCACCTTTTCCACCCACTGACCACTACCGACCACTCCCACCCGCTCACCCACTGACCACTCCAACCCACCCACTAACCACTCCCACCCACTCACCATTCCCACTCACTGACCCCCACCCACAGACCACTCCCACCGACTCACTCGCCACACCCACCCACAAAACACTCCCACCCACTGACGTATCCAACCACTGACCACTCCAACCCGCCCACTGTTCACTCCCACCCACTGACCACTCCCATCCACTCACTCACCACTCCCACCTACTGACCATTCCAACCCACTGACCACTACTGACCACTCCCACCCGCTCACCCACTGACCACTACCACCCACTGACCACTCCCACCCACCCACTGACCACTCCCACCCACCCACCAACCATTCCCACTCACTGACCCCACCCACAGACCACTCCACCCACTGACCAATCCAACCACTGACCACTCGCACCTACTCACTCACCACTCCCACCAACCCACTCACTCACCACTCCAACCCGCCCACTGACCACTCCTACCTGCTCACCAACTGACAACTCCCACCCATTCTCCCACCCACTGACCACTCCCACCCGCTCACCTTTATGGTTCTGTCTCCAGACGCAGACACGATGTATTTGTCGTCAAAGTCCACTACGTTGACAGCAGCGCGGTGACCCACGAGCACGCGGCGCAGACTGATGTCGGTGGCGGACGCCATGTCCCACACAGCGATGGAGCGATCTTTCGAACACGTCACCATGAGCCCGTTACAGAAGCGCAGGTGCAGAACCGCCTCGTTATGATGGATCAGAGTGTTGAGAACCTCACCAGAACCAACGTCCCACACCCTGACAGAGACAGGGAAAATATCACAGATTAGTACACAATACGAGGGAATGTGAGCCTATACATTAACTAAGCTACAAAATAGCATAGCTACACAAATGTGTATTGATAAAAAAAAAAATCACATTAAATGTGGACGAATTTACACTACTTTTCAAAAGTTTTTGCTTTTTAAAGTAGTCTCCTCTTCTCACTGTGGCTGAATTTATTTAATCAAAATACAGCAAAAAAGTAATATTGTGGAATATTATCATTACAATTTAAAATAGATGTTTTCTATTGTAAAATGTAACTTATTCCTGTGATCAAAGCTGAGTTTTCAGCATCATTACTCCAGTCTTTTAACCAATGTTGTTTCATATTTTTGTGGAAACCGTGATTTTTTGTTTCAGGATTCTTTGATGAATAGGTCGGAAGTTCAAAAGAACAGATTTATTTGAAATAGAAATCTTTTGAAACATTAGAAATGTCTTTACTGTCACAATTTAATGCATCCTTTTGACACATTGGGTCTCATTCATGAAACACGAGCAGAACGAATTTGTGTCTAAATCGTGTGTAAAGTGGTTCTGGCGTAAATTTTCGGATTCATTAAAGGACTAGTTCACTTTTGAAAAAACTTTTGCTGATAATTTACTCACCCCCATGTCTTTCAAGATGTCCATGTCTTTCTTTCTTCAGTCAAAAAGAAATTTAGGTTTTTGATGAAAACATTCCAGGATTTTTCTCCATATAATGGACTTCAATGGGAACCAGCCGGTTCAAGGTCCAAAAGACAGTTAATAACAGTTTCAGATGCAGCTTCAAATGTCTTTAAATGACACCAGACGATGAATAAGGGTCTTATCATGCGAAACGATCGGTTATTTCAAAACTTATTCCAAAAATGTAACTTTTCTAAGGACAAATGCTAGCCATGCTCTATTCTGTGAGGCGCGTTTGCAATGTCACGTATTACGTAATTACGTTCAAAAGGTCACGGGCGACGTAGCCGGAAGTACAGAATCAAAATCGTCCGACATCGTTGTTTTTCCTTTTAATTCCTTTTTTTGGAAACGGTGTTTGAGCTAGTTTGCACGTTCAACCTATGCGTTCAACTTGTAAACACTGACTGTACTTCCGGCTACGTCGCCCGTGACCTTTTGAACGTAATTACGTAATACGTGACGTTGCAAACGCGCCTCACAGAATAGAGCAAGGCTAGCATTTGTCCTTAGAAAAGTTACATTTTTGGAATAAGTTTTGAAATAACCGATCGCTTCGCATGATAAGACCCTTATTCATCATCTGATATCGTTTAAAGACATTTGAAGCTGCATCTGAAACTGTTATTAACTGTCTTTTGGACCTTGAACCATCCGGTTCCCATTGAAGTCCATTATATGGAGAAAATCCTGGAATGTTTTCATCAAAAACCTTAATTTCTTTTCGACTGAGGAAAGAAAGACATGGACATCTTGGATGACATGGGGGTGAGGAAATTATCAGCAAAAGTTTTCAAAAGTGAACTAATCCTTTAAAATGTTCGTATTTTCTAAATGTTAGTTGGTACGCAAGAAATCTACACCTGCTCCCAGCCATGCGTAAATGGTGCGCTTAACATCCGAACTTTTGCACATTAATAAGACTGCATTTAATTCACCAATGGGTACATATTTAAACGGCATTTAAAAAAAAATATTTGGTTACACTTTATTTTAAGGTGTCATTGTTACACTGTAATTATAGATTTAAGTACTGAGTAATATTAAGTAACTACATGAAGAGTTCAGATGCAAAAGCCTCTAAATGCCATTTGAAATTTTCATCTTTAATGATGATTTTTATCAAACTTGTATATTTAAGTTCAGTAATTTCACTTAAATGGCAATGATAATTACCTATTAATTGTTATTTAAGTGAAATTACTGAACTTAAATATACAAGTTTGATAAAAATCATCATTAAAGAAGAAAATTTCAAATGGCATTTAGAGGCTTTTGCATCTGAACTCTTCACATGTACTTACTAAAGGGTTAGGATTAGGGTTTAGGGCTAGTTGCATGTAATTATGCATAATTTATAGTTATTACTATTGTAAATACATGCAACATATGTAACAATGACACTGTAAAATAAAGTGTTACCAAATATTTTATATAGTAATTACTTACGGTTTTTCTTTTTACTTTTATAATGAGAGCCAGTAATAGCAGATCGGGTGATCGATGGCGGTACTTCTCCAGTTTGAATACGAATTTTCCGAAGTGAACTAATTCGTTTTTTGCCGTCAAGCTTATTTTCTTCTCACTTCCGGGACTGTCCGATTAACAGATGAAACTCCATTAACTGCATCTGTAATATGCTGCCAAGCTTCCTTTTTCAGGACCTGATACGCCACTATGTACGCTTGAAAATAAAATGTGGCGTTTTGAATAAAACTTCAATTTCTGCATCCGAGAAATCTTTCTTTTTCATTCTCAATCATGTTATTATATGCATATAGATGTCAGTCGGATATAATGGGCCTGATTTATGGTATAATTGAGAATGAACGTGCACGCGCATCCCATTTACGACTGGTCGGAATTTATTAACACACACATTTCAGTAACACTTTACGGTAAGGGTACATGAATTATCATGAATTCATTCATTCATGCATTATTTCTCATGAATCATCAGGAACTAACACAAGTTCAACGCTTTTCATTCATGACTTCATGAATGAACAACACCTTAATTAAAACATTAACTAAGATATGCACATCACCATGAATTATGATTTATTACGCATAATCATGATGTTTTCTTTGTTCTTTGTCTAGGTCAGTGACCTACTTACCACTTTAGTTAAGGGGCCACACACATGATGAAGTCATTAATAGATTAATGCTTAGTTAACGATGGCTATTGGACAGACACCATAACAGAGCAATCACAGCTCATAGTACATCAAATACAGAAGTCATCATTAAGTAAGCATTATCTATCAATGACTTCATCATGTGTGTGGCCCCTTAACTAAAGTGGTGACTAGGTCCTTTGAAACACTGATGAACAATGTGCTATTGAAAGGTGGCACAAATGTGAACAAAGAAAACATCATGATCATGCGAAATAAATCATAATTCATGATGATGTGCTCATCTTAGTTAATGTTTTAATTAAGGTGTTGTTCATTCATGAAGTCATGAATGAAAAATGTTGAACTTGTGTTAGTTCCTGATGATTCATGAGAAATTAATGCATGAATGATTATTGCATTAACTTATACATGAATTCATGATAATTCATGTACCTTTACCGTAAAGTGTAACCCACATTTGACTATAACATCTGACGTTTACGAAGTATTTGTGAATCAGGAGAAGAGTTTTCGGGAAGGTCTCTTTTTGCGCAAATCACTCTCATATTTACTCTTATATTTACGAATGTTTCATGAATGAGTCACTTTGATTGTAAAACAGAACAGGCTGCAGGAATAACAGATTCCTTCACTGTTTTTCCAACAGGTTTCATGTTTGAAAGTTGTAAATATGTCCTGTAATAACTGCTCTGCTGTTGATAAAACACACCGGACCGTAAATGACATGTGAACGACCTCACCGGCAGCTGAAACACCCCGCTCGAGCTGAACGCGGCCAACTGATGTGTTAATGCTCTTTAAACACGATCACATTACACAGTCGTTTCCTTGTCCAGGTGTTAAACGTCCGGCCGTTCGCGCTACCACTCCGGGTGACGTAAACCTGATTTATGCAGCTGGAGAGTTTCTCCCACAAAACTCTCTCAGGTGAGAGAGAAACACACACACACTCGCGCTGGAAAAGGTGACGGAGCTCCGGACGGAGCTTTAAACAGTTGCTAGGGAAGTGAGGTCATTGTTTTCATGGAGATTATTCAGCCGGAGGGAGCTAGCGTGTGTGAAACATTTTCAACTATATAGTTTCATCAGCCCTGTACTGACATTTTTTTTTAATTTTCATTCTTAAGGACTCACACACTTTTCTAGTTAGTAGATAATTATTATTATTTTTTTTTTAAATCGTTTTTAGTCTCCCTGTGGTGAAAGTTTTTAATGTTGTTTATATGTCTATGTGTTGTTTTTAATATGCTTTAAGTCCTTTCTCCTTAAAACTGCAGTGAACCAAAAAAAAAAAAAATCAAAAACGTGGTTTGAAATTGCTGGTGTTTCTGACTTCATAAACTACCTTGTAACCAATCAAATCAACATGTGATCGTCAACGAGTGGATCTGAGTGAGTGGAGGCGGGGCTCATTTGCATATTCATAGAACAACATATACTAAAGACAAGGGTGTCGAGTTACATTCAAGCTATTTTAAGCATGAAGAATTTTTCAAGGACAAAATGTTTAAATATGTCGTTTTAGGTGAATTTTAAGCGATTCAATTATTGATTACAAGGGGACTTTAAAAATACATACTTACAAAAAGTGATTTCTGGCTAAAGACATTTTAGATCTGCGGACAAGGGATTTGTTTAATCAATGCACATCTCTTTTTAGCATTTATTATAAAATATTTAACATTAAATTTGGGAAATTTCTCATCGATGTACAGTAGCATTAAAAAGTTTGGCTGGGGTCAAAGGATATTGCTAATGCTTTAAAAGAAGCGTCTTCTGCTCACCAAGGCTGTATTTACATGATCAAAAACACGATAAAAAAAAAACAGGAATACTGTGATATATTATTTCAAAATAAAAGAAGAGTTTTCTATTGTACTATATTATAAAATGATCAAAGCTGAATTTAACATCTTTAGTGCCACATGATCCTTCATTCGAATATAATGATTTCCTGAAGAGCAGCATTTATTTGAAATAGAAATGTTTTGTAACATTGTCACTTTAGATAATGCATCCTTGATGAAAAGTTTTAATTTCGTTAAAAAAATCCTACTGACCCCAAACTGACCATGGTGTTGTGTGTGCGTGTGTACCTGATAGTAGAATCAGAGGAGCCCGTCACTATGACTCTGTCATCATACTGCAGACACAGAACCGAACCAGTGTGACCCGTCAGAACCTTCAGACACTCCAGAGACTGTTTGTCCCAGATCTGAGAGAGACAGACGTTATTCCAAATGATGTACTATACACTCCTACTATGTGCTCAACTGTGTAGTGCGTTTAATTTAACATTGCAAGCTGATAGCCCCTCCCCCTTCACTATGTACCAGTGTAACAGTGCCCGCCCACTTTTTTAGTGGCGCTGGTTCCTGAAGTATGTTTCACTTTCTTTTTGAAAAAAAGTCTTCGTTAAAGTGTTATAAGCCATGAACCAAACAGCAACAAGGTGAATCATAACATTACACATTGATTTGAAGCATAGCTGTCAACCCTCCCGTTTTTTCCGGGTTTCTCACGTATTTTATCTCTGTTCCCGCTGTCTTCCCGTTTTAGTATTTTCCCGTAAAATATCCCGTATTTTTACGCTCTGATTGTGTGAGACGTACAAGCTGGGACATATTCGGCTTGAAGTCGTTCATACTCGGATGCAGCGCCGCGCGCGCTGGTCGGAGACACACTGGCTGCATGCGTCTCAGCTGCGTGGCATGACCGTTTTTATTTTTATTTCGGCTCCCATGTTAACAGATTAGAGCTTGCACACTGCCTGCGAGAAACGCGCAAACGCGTGCATGCAAGTAATAGAACCAGAAATGCCTATTTTTAACGCGACACGCAAGCGTGTTGGAAGCGTTTCCAGGCAAAAAAAACAAACAAAAAAAACAATGTTTATATGTCAAAAATTTCCATTATTTTTGCCTATATATATTTTCATGTCATTTTTTTAAACAATCGAGTCCTGGTGTCCACTACAGAGGTCGTAGCATAACATAGGAATAAAATATCTTTTTTTTTTTTTTTTCATTTGTTTCTTATGCTCTTAATAATGTCAAAAAAATCCCTTATTTTGGCGATGGATGCCACGAAACCTCCCTTATTTTCAATGTTCAATGTTGACAGCTATGATTTGAAGCAAAAAAGTATGTCAGACAAAAAGTACTATGTGATGAACTACAATCCCATGAAGCACTGAGAATAGCATAATCAAATTAAAAACGATTGAGAAATATAGAACTACTCATTTACAAATGTTGCTTGTTTATATATATTCATTGAGAACTTTGTGAGTGTACAGACAGTTTAATAAGAATATACTTTAAAGACAGTCCACTTTGCGTATACAGGCAGGAGCCATCTTTGGAAAACAGTCTCGACCGGTCGAACCAAGAGCGCCGGTTCACCTCTCAGAGTGAAAATGCTTGAGCTATGTTTTTGGTAAAAATATTGAAAGTATGGGGCCTCTTCTTCCCTTCTACTCAGTCACCCATATGTTTTATTTAATAGAGGTGATATTCTGAGAGGTGAATCGGCGTTCGTGGTTCAACTGGTCGAGCCTGTTTTCCAAAGATGGCTCAAGTGGACTGTCTTTAAAGTATCTTCTTATTAAACTGTCTGCACACTTACAAAGTTCTCACTGCTTTGGATTGCAGGTAGGGACCCTCATTATGTTACCGTGTTAGTGGTATTAACTAGTGATTTTTACTTACTCTATGCCCCCATATACTAGCGTTATAAGCTAATCTGTGGTTCGAGCTAAAACTGGGTACATTCACTTATCATGAAAACACATTCAAGAGAAAGGTTGACTCGGTACCCTTCTTTTTTGGAATTTTTAGTGTGAACACACTAATCACACACTATTTATACTACTAAATGGCACAGAATAGTGCATAAGTATACAAATTGGGACGCACACAATGTAACGGCGATAACAACTGACATACAGATAGAAAGACAGACAAGTACTTTAATGGAGTTGTCTCGTAGGCCGCTGATGATCTTATCATCGTCGTACTGAAGGCAGTAAACACCTTTACTGTTTTCTGACCGGCACTGAATCCGCTGAAGATTGTGACGCCCACAACGCCAGTTCGCCTCAATCGTCTAGAGAGACACAATGAGGAAACAGGAGACCGGATGAATGAATGAGGCAGAGTGGATGGATAAACTGACCACTGAATAAATGCTCACCTCAATGTCCTGTATAATTTTGGGATAGAGTGAATGGTAGTATGAATTGGGTGGGACCTCGTTTGTTCGGTTCTTAAATAAATATTTCTCCCTGGAGACAAAAAAACAAACAAAAAAGAAAACTACCAATCAGATTGAAAAGACGTATAAACCATTTAAACAACCCAAATAATACAGAACGGATACATGATTTCATGGTCATGTATCCTTCCACATTCATATGATCCTTCATTAATATTCTCAGCACATATTTTACACACACACACACACATGTAAAATAATAACAGCTTCTGCTAATAATTTCACAGGATTGACAATCATCAGATGCATTTCTGGGTTTGTCAGAACTGATTATGATCATATTTCTACAGAAAAGTGATCAAATTTCACTTGAGTTTTTAAAGCCAAAATTAGCAACATTGTTCTTCGCAGACGGACATTATCAGTTTGAAAATGTTAGTACCTGACCGGGACAACAATGTACACATATTCAGCACAGCTCTGGCAAAGGTTCATGCATTGCCATTGATGTTTGAGATCCATTCAATATTTTTGTTGTGTTTACCAAATGCAAAAGCTATGATGGGACGTTTAAGAACAGTAAAGACAGTTGCACTGTATGTTTAAGTATCATCAAAGCTCAGCAAGTATGAAAAAAATATATAAAAACAGTTGAGAAAGTTGTTGCATAACTTAACTGCAAAAAATTTGACTTAAGCTTGGGGTTATTATCATTAACTAAAACTATAAAGAAATTGTAACCTGAATAAAATAAACGTCAAAAGGTACATCATTTTTTTCAACACTTTTGTTATTCTGGTTGAAACTCTCTTCACATGCTGAGAAAAATCAATAATAGAAGTGGTCTAAATATTAAAACATGTACATATATCAGACATGTACATGAAGACACGGGACCAAAATATGTTGGTCCAATCATTGCATACTCTCGTCTCGTGAAGCTTCGCAGACTCTGCTGTGCGTTCATGTGTTTGGGTGGAGGCGTGGCTTTGGAGACGCTCTGAAGGGAGGGTGGGATCTCACGCGTTCAAAGCTAGCTCGCTATTGCTAGCCTCTCCGAAATTGCCTACCCTACCTTTAACTGCAATAAAATAAAATATAAAAATATAATATTAAAAAAAAAACATTTCTTTACAGCTAGTTGCCAAAACAATATATATATATATATATATGAAGAGTTCAGATGCAAAAGCCTCTAAGTGCCATTTGAAATTTTCTTCTAGAATGATCATTTTTATCAAACTTGTATATTTAAGTTCAGTGATTTCACTTAAATAGCAATGATAATTACCTATTAATTGTTATTTAAGTGAAATTACTGAACTTAAATATACAAGTTTGATAAAAATCATCATTAAAGAAGAAAATTTCAAATGGCATTTAGAGGCTTTTGCATCTGAACTCTTCATATATATATATATATATATATATACACACACATATATGTATGTATACATATATATATATATATACACACATACATACATACACTATGTCATATAAATGTGTTGCTGAACACAACACGGAAGCTTTTCCATATAAGATTTTAGTGTTAATGACTAATAATTTCATTGTACTTGTCTTTAACAATGACAATAAAGAATTTAAATAAAGATTGCACCGTTTCAAACTCGTGCGTTTAGCTTAACAATGCAAATGAGCATCTGTGTGTGTTTTTACCACTGATGCCGCTCTGACAGGCCTTTCCACAGCGGGTCCGTGCGCACCATCCTCTCGATGAGCTTCTTCCAGAGCATCCCGTCTGATATGACCCGCTGCCATTCTCGACAGACCAGCTCAGCTGAGCACAGAGAACGAGCGTCTAGAAACGAGAGGATGTTCTCCGCTATGTGATCCAGACCCTGAGCTAGAAACAGAGAGATGAAGTGAGATTCATTCAGTGTAGGTGTGTGAAGTCACACGGGACTCAGCCACATGAAAACATACTCATTGTACAGCATTACAACTGGTATCTTTCTGACATTACTTATATAAACATTATGATAAATACATTGCTTGTTACATATACTTGCATGTAACATTTCAGCCTAAATAAACTATAAATATTAGCTAGATTATGTTTGTTACCTCTCTAGCGATGTGCGTTTATGCTGAAATATAATAAAATGACGGTTTGTATTTTTAAAAACATCTGTTGTTGTCAATATGTGTTGGGAGTTGGCTCATGTTTCACGCTTCAAAACCTAAAGGATTTCACTAGTTTTCATGGTGCACTGCATTGTGGGACTTCTTAGGGTGCTTTCAGTGCACTGGAACGATTCAGCGATTGAGAAGGCCCTTAAAATGTGTGACTCCCTGATCAGTGCCCTGAATCCTGAACCAGGAGCTGATTGAGAGGCAGCCGCGGTCATAAGGTGCACGTTCTTCACGGAGGAAGAGCTTCCTTTATGATTTGAGGAACGTCATAACATCATGACATCATACAGTTGCGGTCATAATCTTGCAAAATATTTTTCTTTTATAAATCAAATTAAAGATAAGTATTGTAAAATTTGCAATTTGTTTTTTTTTAATGTTTGTTTTTAGTACAGCCTTGAATAATCTATTGAACATTTTTTAGATGTACAACATGCAAATCTTGTTGTTGTTGTTGAGGATCCCTGTTTTTCTTCAAAAAAGTAAACAGACTTATTATTTCTTTCTTGTTAATTTATGTGGTTGTTGTTTATATATATGCTTTGTTACTCTTAATATTGTATTTGTGCTAATATATATGAAGAGTTCAGATGCAAAAGCCTCTAAATGCCATTTGAAATTTTCTTCTTTAATGATGATTTTCATCAAACTTGTATATTTAAGTTCAGTAATTTGACTTAAATGGCAATGATAATTACCTATTAATTGTTATTTAAGTGAAATAAATGAAATAAAATATACAAGTTTGATAAAAATCATCATTAAAGAAGAAAATTTCAAATGGCATTTAGAGGCTTTTGCATCTGAACTCTTCATATATAAATCAAACCTTTTTTCAGAACATTTTTCAGATTCTGCAAGGTGCATGTAAACTTGTGACTTTTATATATTATATGTAAACTTTAAATTATGACTGTAAAATAATAATTTTTATTATTATTACTTAAATGACTGAAGTCTGACCTCAAAGTCAATGTCTGCAGAACCATTTTTATGTCATTATCTGATTAAACTACCACTTTTATTGCACATGATCCGATCCTTTATTATCATAAATCATACAAAGATTGACATTACATGTTATCAGATGTCTGTGTAAGCGAAGTGATGTGAGTGTGTGGTTCACAGACACATTTCTGACTCTGCTAATGTGCGTGTTGGAGTGTAGCCAATGTTTAGGGTGCGTGCGCATGTGTTTAGTTACCTGGCAACGTGGTGATGAAGTCTCTCTGTAACATGGGTTTAAGGTACGAGTTTATATGGCCGTGCTGGTAATGACACATGTGTGAGATGAGATGCTCCACGAACTCCACCTGATCATACTCTGACCACTGATCAAACAGCTGGATGCACAGGTCTTTCTCCTTCTCGTAGTTCCCCTGAGACGGCCTCTTTCTAGATCCCGCCACTGACCCGTTCCCTAACTGGACACACGGAAAAGTGAGAACACAAGCTTGACAAAACTTCACACTCAGCTGGTTGAGTTTATATTTAGGTCATCGAGTTTCTTTATTTGCATATGTGGCCTGATTCTCATAGCTCAGTGATAAAACGATGATCATGTGTTTGGATGAGGATTTATTCATCCACAAACCCAGAAATGCACTTCTCATGTGATCAGCGGTGTTGTTTTAGTATTATTAGACTATTATTGTTTTGAATCATATTTAGCATTTTTATATTTTCATTTTAATTTTAGTAATTGTGTGATGTGCTTTTGTCAGTTTTTCTTTTACTATTAACGTTTGTTTTTATTTTATTGTCAGTAGTTTTAGTGTTGTATCTAAATAAAATTAGAAATTTAGCAACTAACTGAAATTTTTTTTCCTCATATAATATTTAATATTTAATTATATTTCAGCTTTAGTTTAACAAAAATGTGTTAATAGTTTAATTTTAGTTAACGGTAACAACACTTGTGGTCAGTCACATTTATTTATATATCCTATCTGTTATAAGGAAAATTGATACACCATGATTCAAATGTCTTGTATTTTCTCTTAACATTTTACATTTGGAAATGAGCAGAAATAAGTTAATGCAACCTCTAATTTGCATAAGAATTTTTTTTTTTTTTGACTAGGCTACTTTTGTCATACCTGTTGCTGCCATAATAATGGCTTGTTTAAAAAATGTATGCAATGTATCCTTTTTGTTCTTCGTAACATCTCCCATTAACTGTAGTAGCGTAGTGATGTAATATTATTCTTGTAAACAGTTTTTCAGAAATTAAAGTATATTTTTAATGCAAGGACCAGAGTTACCATACTTTGCTCAATTGATCCCTTCTTATAAATTCAGTCTGAAATTAAATGACCAGATGACTGTGGACTTTGTCACTGATAAAAATTCCTGGCCAAATGACTTGCTTTTGTGTGTTATTTTAGTATCATTTATATACTATTACAGTTTTTTTTAAATATTATTGACTTTAAAAACATGTCTACTTAATTTATAGTTTTAGTTATATTATAGTTTATTATAATATAATAATAATAATAGTTATATATAGTTTATTATATTATAGTTTTAGTACATAAAAGTACATAAAAATTTGAAAATATTTTTATATTCACCATTAATAAAATATGCTGCCTTTAGTTTTAGCTGATGATAATAACACTGATTTTTATGAGAGAAACAATAAAAGCAATAAAAAAAAATAAAAATTAAAGCTGCAAGCAGCGATGGGCGGGCCCTCGCACCTGTAGCGCGTTTGGGGTGTGAGGCGGCCGCGTTGCATATTCTGCGGCTCAGCCGGTGCAGCTGTGAAATTTTTCGCTGCTTCGTTAAAGGTCACTTCCTGTTGCCACTAGGTGGCGCTATGACTGTGGGTTAATGTCGGCATGTAGATTTGTTCAGGGCAGGACTCTTGTCAAATGTGTAAAATTTCGTGCAGATCTGGGCATTTACAGCCAAGTTACTACAACTTCCTGTTTCATGGCGAATCATCGACGCCACGGACACACCCATCGACAAAAACACGCACATAGCACAACTTTACATCGTCAATGACTTTAGAAGGTACAGCAGAAATTTGAAGTTGATCCTACTAAATTTCTAGGAGGAGTTCGTTAAAGTACGGAGTGTGTAAATCGTCCCAAATCGGTCGCCAAATTCAAAATGGCGGACTTCCTGTCGAGTTTAGGGTATGGGTTCTTGAGGCTTTTTTGTACGTCTGTTCATGGTATATGTACCACAGAAATTTCGTACATGTCGGTCAAACAAGCGACGGGGGCTGCTTCGTTAAAGGTCACTTCCTGTTGCCAGCAGGTGGTGCTATGACTGTGGGTGAATGTCGGCATGTAGATTTGTTCAGGGCGGGACTCTTGTCAAATGTGTAAAATTTCGTGCAGATCTGGGCATTTACAGCCAAGTTACAACAACTTCCTGTTTCATGGCGAATCATCGACGCCACGGACACGCCCATCGACGAAAACACGCAGATAGCACAACTTTACATCGTCAATGCCTTTAGAAGGTACAGCAGAAATTTGAAGTTGATCCTACTAAATCTCTAGGAGGAGTTCGTTAAAGTACGGAGTGTGTAAATCGTCCCAAATCGGTCGCCAAATTCAAAATGGCGGACTTCCTGTCGAGTTTAGGGTATGGGTTCTTGAGGCTTTTTTGTACGTCTGTTCATGGTAGATGTACCACAGAAATTTCGTACATGTCGGTCAAACAAGCGGCGAAGCTGCTTCGTTAAAGGTCACTTCCTGTTGCCAGCAGGTGGTGCTATGACTGTGGGTGAATGTCGGCATGTAGATTTGTTCAGGGCGGGACTCTTGTCAAATGTGTAAAATTTCGTGCAGATCTGGGCATTTACAGCCAAGTTACTACAACTTCCTGTTTCATGGCGAATCATCGACGCCACGGACACGCCCATCGACGAAAACACGCAGATAGCACAACTTTACATCGTCAATGTCTTTAGAAGGCACAGCAGAAATTTGAAGTTGATCCTACTAAATCTCTAGGAGGAGTTCGTTAAAGTACGGAGTGTGTAAATCGTCCCAAATCGGTTGCCAAATTCAAAATGGCGGACTTCCTGTCGAGTTTAGGGTATGGGTTCTTGAGGCTTTTTTGTACGTCTGGTCATGGTAGATGTACCACAGAAATTTCGTACATGTCGGTCAAACATATGGCGGGGGCTGCTACGTTAAAGGTCACTTCCTGTTGCCAGCAGGTGGCGCTATGACTTAGGGTGAATGTCGGCATGTAGATTTGTTCAGGGCGGGACTCTTGTCAAATGTGTAAAATTTCGTGCAGGTCTGGGCATTTACAGCCAAGTTATTACAACTTCCTGTTTCATGGCGAATATTCGACGCCACGGACACGCCCATCGACGAAAACGCGCAGATAGCACAACTTTACATCGTCAATGCCTTTAGAAGGCACAGCAGAAATTTTAAGTCCATCCGACTAAATCCCTAGGAGGAGTTCGTTAAAGTACGGAGTCTGTAAATCGTCCAAAAATGGCCGCCAAATTCAAAATGGCGGACATCCTGTCGAGTTTAGGGTATGGGTTCTTGAGGCTTTTTTGTGCGTCTTGATATGATACACGTCCCCACCAAATTTCGTGCATGTAGGTTGAACGTGGACGAGGGGCTAATTTTTTCCAATTTTCTAGGTGGCGCTATCGTGCCATTTTGCCCCGCCCATCCGCGAAACCAACAAAATACGAAATTTTTCACCAGTCCTGACATGCGTGCCAAATTGGGTGAGTTTTTGAGCATGTTGAGGCCCCGAAAATGGCACTTACTTTGCAGAAAAAAGAAAAAAAAAAAAAAAAAAAAAAAAAAAAAAAAAATAATCCTAACAGTTTCAATAGGGACCTCGCACTGTTAGTGCTCGGGCCCTAAAAATCAGACTACTTCCTGTAAGTGTTGAAAATACCTTCCAACCTCATGAGAAACAATTACTGCCTGAACAGGGTTATTTAGGTGATAAATGATGATGTCACGTTCAATGTTGTGATATCTAAATTGGGTCACTGAGTAATTACATTGTACCGGTAATATACCATAACAGATTTTATATCATGAAAACAGCATAAAACTAGGCACATTTCACACACACCTTGAACACTGTTGTCTTCTTTGGCGAGATGTCATCCGTGTTATTCTGTGACTCCATTACTGACATGTTCTAGAGAGAGAGAGAGAGAGAGACAGATAAGAGAGTTGTGTGTCTGACTGAATGCTAGGTAGGGCATTGAGAAAGGTGCATTCTGGGTAAAACATTCCAAAAACATGTTGCACTCTTATAAAGAAGAGAATATGAGGAAGAGGAGGAGCTTGAAGGCGGGTGGGAGGAGCTTCATTTAACATTGCTTTCATTGAGTCAATCGGCTCATTGCGTGCTTAGTTCTGTGTTTAAACACACAGTGAGTCCTGATCACACAAGCGGTTAGAAAACAAACAAGTACATGCATGTGCACCTTAAAAAAGTAAACACAAAGATAATGACAGAAAGCTGAACCGATGAAACCTGACGTAAATACACACGTCTCACCAATAGACATCCTTAAACACATGCACTGTGGCCCTAAAACACATCTGGCCACTGAAATCACACATGCAAACAAAATAGCAGCATCTTCACTAAGTTTGAATGTGTATGAATCAGCTTGTACCGTGATTTTTCAGTGTATGTATGAAGTCAGTTCACACAGGTATAGTCAGAGAATCACATTAGGTGTGTTAGACTCGATCGGTGTGTGATATCAAAGTACAGCGCGAGTGATACCTCCGTATACCTCCGAAACACTGTGCAGCGCTGTACTTTGATTTCACACACTGATCGGTCTGTGCAGCAACGCTTCAAGTCCAACACACACCTAGTAAATATCAACATGATCCAATAACCTCAAATAAACGCACTACTGAGTGTCTATTTCAACACAATGAGCTGCCAATCGACTTTTAATCACACTTCTCAATGGAAAAACTTCGGATATGAGATGATGAGACTGTAGAAAACAGACAGGGATGGAGAGAAAGAGACGGGTGAAAGCAGACAGACAGACTCTCAGGTAAACTGAACTTCCTTTTCTATTTTCTCACAAGATCCAGGCTAATCATACAGACCGACTATGACAACTGATTACAGCTCACTAAACTTGCATGAACATCTCCATATATATCAGACGACCAAGCAAACACACACACATACAATCAGTGCATGAGACAGAGAACAGGAGGAGAACAAGAGAGGAGGAGAGAGGAGAACAGGAGAGAAGAAAGAGAGTAGAGGAGGAGAACAGGAGAGAATAGGAGAACAGGAAGGAGAGGAGGAGAACAGGAGAGGAGGAGAGGAGTAGAGAGGAGAGGAGAACAGGAGAGGAGAGGAGAGGAGAAGAGAGGAGAACAGGAGAGGAGAGGAGAACAGGAGAGAATAGGAGAACAGGAGAGGAGAACACGAGAGGAGAGGAGAACAGGAGAGGAGAGGAGAACAGGAGAGGAGAACAGGAGAGGAGAGGAGAACAGGAGAGAATAGGAGAACAGGAAGGAGAGGAGGAGAACAGGAGAGGAGGAGAGGAGTAGAGAGGAGAACAGGAGAGGAGGAGAGGAGTAGAGAGGAGAACAGGAGAGGAGAACAGGAGAGGAGAACAGGAGAGGAGAACAGGAGAGGAGAGGAGAACAGGAGAGGAGATGAGAACAGGAGAGGAGAGGAGAGGAGAAGAGAGGAGAACAGGAGAGAAGGAAGAGAGTAGAGGAGGAGAAGAGGAGAGGAGAAGAAAGAGAGTAGAGGAGGAAGAGAGGAGAAGAGGAGAGGAGAACAGGAGAGAAGAAGAGAACAGGAGAGAAGAGGAGGAGAGTAGGAGATGAGAACAGGAGAGGAGAGGAGAGGAGAGCAGGAGAGGAGAAGAGAGGAGAACAGGAGAGAAGGAAGAGAGTAGAGGAGGAGAAGATGAGAGGAGAACAGGGGAGGAGAGGAGAGGAGAAGAGAGGAGAACAGGAGAGAAGGAAGAGAGTAGAGGAGGAGAAGAGGAGAGGAGAAGAAAGAGAGTAGAGGAGGAAGAGAGGAGAAGAGGAGAGGAGAACAGGAGAGAAGAAGAGAACAGGAGAGAAGAGGAGGAGAGTAGGAGAGAAGAGAACAGGAGAGGAGAAAAGGAGCAAGGAGAGGAGGAAAAGAGAACAGGAGAGGAGAAGAGATGAGAGGATAAGAGGAGAGGAGAACAGGAGAGAGGAGAACATGGGAGAAGAAGAGAGGAGGAGAGATGAGAGGAGAACAGGAGGAGAGAGTAGAAGAGGAGAGGAGAACAGGAGAGAGGAGAGGAGAAGAGAACAGGAGAGGAAAGGAGAACAAGAGAGGAAAACAGGAGGAGAGAGGAAAACAGGAGAGGAGAACAGGAGAGGAGAATAGGAGAAAAGGAGATGAGGAGAGAAGAACAGGAGAGGAGAGGAGAACAGGAGAGGAGAGGAGAACATGAGAGGAGAGGAGGAGAGAGGAGAACAGGAGAGGAGAGGAGAACAGGAGAGGAGAAGAGGAGAAAAGGAGAGGAGAACAGGAGAGGAGAAGAGGAGAAAAGGAGATGAGGAGAGAAGAACAGGAGAGGAGAGGAGAACAGGAGAGGAGAGGAGAACAGGAGAGGAGAAGAGGAGAAAAGGAGATGAGGAGAGAAGAACAGGAGAGGAGAGGAGAACAGGAGAGGAGAGGAGAGGAAGGAAAGGAGAGGAGAGAGGATAACAGAGGAGGAGGAAAGAGGAGAACAGGAGAGATGAGAAAAGGAGCTACTGAAGAGAAGAGCAGAACCTGGTTGTGTGCGCGGGAGGAGGGAAGGCTCTGCAGGCATCTGAGAGCACACAGACTCTCTGCCACCGACGAACAACCCAGCCAGACAGAACGAGGCAAAGAACACTGTGAGAGAGAGAGAGAGAGAGAGAGAGAGAGAGAGGAGGGAGGGGAGGAGAAGAGGATATAGTAGAAGGGAGAAACAGAATGCGAATATGCCATAGGAGAGAGAAAGAGAGGCAAACAGGGAGAAAAAAGAAGGAAAGAATAAATAATGTCCAACAAAAGAAAGTCAGAATGAAAGAAACAGCAAACCAAAGGAAGGGGGAAAAGACAAAAGAAAAGAATGGACAATGGGAACAATAGGTAGAAGACAGAAATAATGAACATGTCAATGAACAAAGAAAGAACAAATAAAGGAATTAACAAAAGACAAGACAAATAAGAGCGAAAGAAAGAGCGAAAGAGCGAAAGAAAGAAAGAGCATGCAGATAACCAATGTGTGGGGTCGAACAAGTGAAACAGCATGAAAAAGAGAAAAGAGGAGAGTCAGTGAGGAAAGTGAGGAGGGGAAAAACAGTATTAGAGCAACAGTGAGCAACACACACACACACACACCATCATGAGTGAGTGGAGCTGAGAAGAGGGAGTGGCCTCATAAGCTCCTCCCCTTCTGTGCACAAAAATATGACCTAGTTTAGACTAGAGTATGGATGAACAAAGTGAACAAACTTTACACACTCAAGACATTCATGCACTAGCGTGTGTATTCGTGCACGTCAAAAGATATTCCATTTTTATCATCGTTTTCAATTTAATGTATATATTAATAATTATTATACAAAGTTTGGAAACATTAAAAATGTTTTATGAAAGATGCTCACCATGGCAGCATTTATTTGATAAAAAAAAACAATATTATTTTAATATATTTTAAAATGTAATTTATACCAGCCGTGATCTTAATTCTAATATGCCGATTTTGACATTTAGATTTATTTATTACTTATTAATATTATATCATGTTGATGATTATTAATATAATATGGGTCATTCCGTGTCAAATCAATCAAATTTCAGACTTCAAACTTCCCTGGCAAAAATTTTTGATTTTGATAATCTTTTTCTGGCAAAAGAAATACATAAATTAAGAAATCAAAAAAATTAAATGTTATGAATGTGCATTATAGTAAGTAATCCACTATTTTGTGCATTATATGCCAATGGTGATAGTCCAAAAATGAAAAAAACGAAAAAACAAAAAAAACGTTTATTCTTTTATTTGAAGTACTTTTATGGGGGTTTTTTTACCCGCAGTTTGCATGCATGTAACTCAAGATGTATTAAAGATCCCTTAGCATACTTTTCTTTTGGTATCTTTATGTTATTTTTTAAGGCCCAAATATGGTTCATGGAGAACCATGGAGTTATGTGGATTTAATTTCTTTTAGACATTATGGTCTTTCATAAACATTTTTAGTGGTCAAAATCCAAATGTAAGTCACTTTGCATAGAGTTGATACTCTTTTCTTACAAAGAGGAATATGGAAAGGACAAATAATGTTGAAACCAGAAATGCATCTCGTTTTGTTTTCGATCAACACCATTGCAGAACACACCCGTCCGAGTGCCATAAATAGTCTTTTTCCAAAGTTTGCATGGCCGTAACTCTAAAAGTAATAAAGATATCTCAATAGCCTTCTAGATTCTCATTATTAGTCAACTTTTCTTTTGTAATCTTCATTTTTAATGCCCTATATGGTTCAGACCCATATTTATGGCAATCCAAATGCAACTCCATGACCAAAATATTAAATTTTATCCATGTTTTTGGGGTGTTTTTGCCGGGGACCTCTGGTTGAATTGACATGAAATGTCTCATATATTAAATATAATATTAGCTTGAATATAAATCAAGCTAATTAGGTAAAATTGGTAATTTAAATCCGTAAATTAAAGCAAGTCAATTTGGTCATTTCATGTCTTACCATCTTCCTAGTTCACAAACTAATAATAACTGTTCAGAGATCTGTATCCACAACCTGTAATAAAAGAATAAACTCTAAATCCCATTCAAAACAAACCGGGCAGTGTTTGTCCAGGCAGCTGTGGCCTAACAGAGAGGGTGTTGTTGAGCTCAACCTAACATGAGCCAAGATGAAGATCAGCATAACCATGACAGATCTGGAGACAGTGAGCTGGTTACGCCCTCTGCATCCTTTATATACGCTAGATTCAGCAGTGCAGTTGACTTATTAGGGCACACACATGTAGTTTGGTAACTAAATAATGTAAACATTGCTAATTAGTCATTTAGTAGATGTTTTATGCACATGCATACAATACTATACTCACTTTAGCATGTATAGCCTGTGTAACATGATGCACATTATGTTATATTTGAAGTATGTCTATAGAATATATAGACTATAACAGAAATATACTGCACACACAGACTGTATATGGGATATAAGTGACATTAACAACATGTTTACATAGTTAATGAAGGGCATATACTGTATGTTGTGAGGGGTGTATGAAGCATAAACAGATTCTGTATATTCAACATGTAGATTGTAATACAACAAGTTGATTTTATTTTGATAGCGTTTTTCACAACACTGTGAGCTACTGTATACACGTGTAAATGCATAGATGAATGAAGCATATATAAACGGTGTAATGAAGCACATATAGATTTTATGAAAGCTACATGAAGATCATAGACTACACGACATATGAAACATACAGATTGTTTAATATATGAAGCACATAAGAAATTGTTTAATATATGAAGCACATATAATTTAATGTATGAAGCACATAGATTATTTCATATGACGCGCATTTAGATCGTGACATGAAGCACATACAGATTATTTAATATATGAAGCACCTATAAATGATCTAATATATGAAGCACATAGATGGTTGAATATACAAAGTGCATATAGACTTTGTGATACAGCAAATAACATATAAACTATCCATGACATATGAAGCTCATGTATATTGTTTAATAAATGAAGAGAATATAGTTTCATATATGAAGCCCATATAGACCGAGTGATATTTGTAGCTCATTTATAATACATGAGGCGCATACAGATTATTATTCATTATTTAAAGGTCGAGTCAAGTCACCTATTATAGCGCTTTACACAATACAGATCGTTTCAAATCAGTTTTATAATAACAGGAAAATGATTCAATGATGCAAACGAAGCTTATACAGACTATATATGATATATGAAGCGCCTATTGCTATATAAAGATTAATTGTGCAATACATGAAAGTCAAATAGACTGGCACAGCACATCAAGTGCATGTTTATGCCATATAAAGCGCATATAGAGATTAGAGAGATATGATATATGTGATATATGACGCAGCGGTGCCGCAATGACTGACCAGCGAAACGCAAACGCTTCCTCGACATTCATACGCGATATACTCGTCAAATCAAAAGCGGAAAGTCGGTTTAATGACAAAACCACAATAAGACATTTAGCGCAACATGATAACAGTCGAATGTTTTATATCGATTCGGGCCGCTGTTGTGTTTTTGTCCTCCCTCTCCCTCTCTCTCTCTCTCTCTCTAGCCCGCCTGAAACTGCATTACAATAAAAACAAACATCCACACCAGCAGCACGAGTATCATATATTCATACAGTGTCTTATTTGTTGGTCCTCACGTACCATCAGCTCCAGGGTTTTGTCCTCCATTTCCGGATCCATATTATTGTTGTTCTGGTTGAATCCAACCGTGAAAATGGAAACCCGTCCGTGAACCCGAGTGAAGAGAGAAACGACATACATCAACACAACACGGAGAATCAATGGCGTTAAAGCAGAATAAAAGTCCTCCTCCACAGCTTCGCACAAGAGCATTTGCTTTAAATGTATTCGTAAAATATATTATTTTACTTTTCATTTTACTTTGTATTTAATTAATTATATAGTATATGTTATTAAATAAATATATGTTATTTTATAAATATATACAGTATAAATATAATAGAAGTTATTTGATTTAATTTGCTGCTTGCTTGTAATATATATATAAATATATATATATATATATATAGGCCGTATATATATATATACTATAATTATTATATACTTCTGTTGTTGGGTCTTTCCCTCATCAGTAGAGAAAGTGAGAAAAACAAACAAATCAACCCACATACTTCTTTAAATCTATCAGTATTGCCAAGTTCATTTATACGATCAATTTCAATTCTGCCTCGCTGGCTGGGTAGTTTAACTGACTGATTATAGTCGATGCATACTTGTAATTTGATTATATTAAATTTTTAAACACTTGTGATCAGACTATAATTCCTTTTTTAATTACTTGTTACTCTCACAATGGCTGTAAATTATTCATAATTAATTGATTCTCCTTATTACTACTTTTTAATCTTTTAAACTTTCCTTTCTAAACAAATCTACTGCTTATCTACAGCAAAATGTCTCCCAGGTTTGTGGAATTGCACACACTGAGCAGACAGAAAAAAGAAAACACTGAGAACCACACAGCCTGATTTACTGGATTTACAGAATTCATTTAGAATAAAAATAAATAAATAAATCACATAAAATTTAAAAGGGAGCTAAACAATTCACTTATAAAAACTCAATTTATACTGTAAAAAAAGGCATAAAATTTGGAAAAAAATAATTTCAATTGTTTTTTTATTAACACTGTATTATTTATTTAATCAAATTTCCTTTGATAATTTTCATTTTTAAAAACATTTATATTTATTTCTTGAAATAAAAAAAAAGAACAGTGATTTGTTTTAATAATTTTTTTTTTTTCTCCCCCCACTTCTCTTCTATGCTACTAGTGACAGGCCCATGTATTGCTATTACAATCAACCCTCAGCAACATTCATATAAATAGCAGCATCAACACAGGCTGTAATGACCCATACTGGTCAACTGCCAGAAGTCATGGTATTTCTTAGCTGATGTAATAATAATAATAATAATGAGAAAAGTCTTTGCAATAGTGTTCTTATAGTCCGAGACAGAAAAAATATTCAAATTTTTCCATTAATCATAAAACGGAATAATCTAGAAGCACAAGGTAAGATTTCAGAGAATAATTGCAAATACGGACAGAGCACTTATAAAGTAAAACGGGACACACAGAGAAGTTTCAGCATTTTCAAATTTATTTTGTTTCTCCCCCATTCCTTACATAAACCCATGTAAAAAATACCACACTGTCATAAAATACAGCAGCAGCAATTGCCAATAAAAAAAAACTCAAAAGAGAACTAGTGGTGGATTTAGGGTGGAAAAAGATGAGGGGGGAGAACAGAAAACAGAGGATAAAAAGAAAAAGAAACATTTCAAAATGAGTCCAAACAGTCTGAACGATATTTTTACGAATTTAATTCAAATGGGAAGAATAAACAAAATGAGTCCTGTCCAATCAGAATGCTCTAAGGCGGGGCTTCATGAATTACTCATGAATGGCTCTGTCGTTCACTTGATTGACAGGCGACACACTTCTCTTCTGAAACTGTCTGTTTTTTTTTTTTTAGTATTGAGCGCACAGGTTCTCGGTAAGAAAGAGATATTTTTCTTTCTAGAATTCCTCAAATCTGCACTTATTTCTCTCTAACTTGGTCTCGACTACCTAGTAGTCATCCAAGTCAAAAATCTCATCTTCTTCTCCCTGGTAATCCAACCCCACGAAATCCACTCGGTACCGCAAAATACCTGAGAGAGAACACATTTTGTTAACAAAAAACTAACAGGAATATGATTCTACATCAACACACGATGAATATCACCAAAAAACAGAAACAAATGAAATAAAGCCAGATTTAGCGTCACCTCCGATTCCTCCGAAACCCTTGACGAACTGCGACCCCTCCTGACTCTTATCAGTCACGATCTCCAGAGTGGCTCCGAACTTCTTATAGCTGTTGGCGAACCACTCCAGCAGCGGCATGACCTCGATGAGCTCGTGTTCCTGACCCGTCTGAACCACACACACACACACACACACAAAGCAAACAAGTGATCAGTGGCACAGCAAACATCATCAATACACTGTTAGACATGACCAGGGCTATCAACTGTGTAACAGTGTCAGGGTGGTTAATCACGACCTCTCACACACACACCTCTTTGTCTATGAAGTGGGACTTGTCCTTCTCTTGTTCAGGGGTCAAATAAATGACTTTCTCATCTGAAACACACAACAGTGAGGAGACGTTACAGAAAACACTTCCGCTTGACACAACCTGCCATAAACAAACACTGAATGCAAGTTTAAAACTCGTGTTTACACTGAACACACACACACAGACTTATACGGGACAAGAGGAAACTGTGCATATAGTTTTTTACAATAAGGTCTGATTAGGTAACATTAGTTAATGTTAACAATAAGCAATACATTTGTTACAGTATTTATCGTCAACGTAATACACATTGTACTTGCTCATTGTTAATTTGTGTCTTAATAATGTATTAGTAAATACTGAAATTAACATTAAGATTAATAAATGCTTTAAATGTGTTTTTCATTATCAGTTCATGATAAATTGTATAGTTAACTCATATAAACAAATGAAACCTTATTGTAAAAAAAAAGATTTTTTTTTTTAAAAAATCAGCAATTTCACTTACATTTTAATTGTTAACTTAAATTAAAGTAAAACTGAAATAAACAAATAAAATCTATTTAAACATTGAAAAAAATGGGAAAAAATATATATACGGTATATATATAAAAAAACTAAGGTAATTTTATTATTTAAAAACTATCAGAGTATCTCAATGATATTTAAATAACAGCGATATAGTCACATATCACCGTTACATCATCACTGGAAGACTGGACTGACCAATCAGATAACAGGAATGTATGTGTCAATATTATAATTCCTGAGGTGGTTTAATGAGTTATTTGAACTGCTCTACACGTGCTGACTGACAGGAACAGGAAACATCTTGAATCTGAGACTGTGTTTGTAATAAACGTGTGTGTAAGATTCTCGATCAATCCCATGTGTGTTCATGTACCGTTCTCTGAGTCGGTGACCTCTGCGCCATGCAATCTCAGCACGTATCTCATAGTCTCTAAATTTTCATAGACAATGAGAATCTCAACGGCTCCCATTTCCAGCGCCTTCAGTGTGTCGTCCACGCCAAAACAATACTTCCCTGTGTCCTGACTGATCTCGTCGAAGTATCGCCCTGAGACAGACAGACAACGCCACAGTCAACGATTTCAGGAAACAAACTTGAAACTTTCGTGAAACACTTCCTTTAATTTTTCATAAACTTTATCCTACAAGAAAACAGGGTAGCAGAAGAGTCGAATTTGCCAGAGAGAAATGAGAAGATCTGTGAAGAACCAGGGATCTTATTAACTAAACTAGTGAAAAAAAAGATGAAAACCATCATATAAGATGAAAAACTAGATGAATTTTTATTTTTAAAAAAAGACTACTAACTAAAGTAATAAAAACAAACTGACACAAATTTAAAAAATAAATCATCCTGCATCTTCGATTTGTTATTAAATAAACAGACACGAATATAATTGTCAGGTGAAAAATACTGAAAAAATGCTTAATTCAAAATCTTATAACGTATAATTGGAATCTGCTTATTTGCTAATATATCAATCCAAACAAATTAGGTCAATCAATATGTAATTTTGCTGATAATATGATAATATCTTTAAAGTAACTAGTCAAATTTGAATAATAAATGTGTTATGAATAATAATAATGTTCTTAGTCTTTCCTTCCTGTGAAGAGCAGCTCAGAAAGAAGCGAGTTTACATTGAATTAATCGCCAACTCATTTATTGTGTTACAAAATACCCCAGGACTCTTATTTTGAAATGACGGGTTTTGACTTTGATACTAGCAGTGCTCACATTTAACACATTCAATCATCACCTCATGAAGTTTAATATTCACCAGGGATGGGCAACGATTAATCGCATCCAAAAGTTTGTGTTTACATAATATATGTGTGTATAATTTATATATAAATACCCACACATGGATGTATATATTTATATATATATATATTTATATACTTTGTGTGTGTGTGTGTATATATATATATATATATAATAAATATTATATATAAATACAAATATATTAATAACACATTTTTCTTAAATATATACATGCATGTGTGGGTATTTATAAATACAAATTAATTATACACACTACACACACAACAAACTTTTATTTCAAATGCGATTAATCGCGATTAATAGTTACCCAACCCTTAATATTCACATTAGGCTGTATCACGATTCTCAAATTTGAGACCTTTTGAAAGGATAATTTAGACTTTTATTATTCCATTTAAAAAATTTAAGACTTTTTAATGGCCTTAAATGTTATCAACTTAATGTAAAACTTTAAAGACCCATGGATGTTTGCACATGCAAAACTACAGTTGAACTAGACTGTGGTCTTGTTACAGACTTCATTCATCTGATACAGGATTGAATCTGTGAGAATCGATATTTACCTATCAACTTTTTCTCCTGTATGAACTTGACGTTGGACAGGACTTCAGCGGAGAGCTCAATGGCCTGATTGAAGCCGTTTTCTCCTCCGTAAGAGATGTCGACCAGCTTCAACACTTTGGCTTGCAACCTCTGCAACCAATCATAGACAACCAACTGACGTCAGAGACACAGCCAATCACAAAAACCCTGCAATTTGCTCAAATCCACTAATAAACTACATACAAAACAGCTTAATACTCTTATTTTGTCTGCATTATAATGTCATTTCCATTCACATACTATGTTTTAAGTATGCAGTA